GCAATCCTTTACATTTGTCTCCCAGCTCTAGGCTGCTGTGGGCGCCTCTGCCTTGCAATCCTTTGTCTCCCAGCTCTGGACGTCGCAAGCTCTAGTTTCGATATTGAAAAACACAAACTGTTTGGGGTCTACGGTGGTGTAATTTGAAGGCCAAGCGAAGGACATGTCCACGTGTCTAGTTGCCAAGTAAGATGAACATAGTCAAAGTGCCGGGCAAAGCTGATTGGAGATTTCACTACTCTATGCCATGTTGCAGGCGAAGACGCCTAGAAGAATGTGAGCGTTCTAAAGTGGTTGACAAACTGCTCAACATGGTGGGGCGTGGTCAGGTCTCTGTGACTTGCGCAGTCGACTTGTCCCACTGTGCAATGGAGGATGGTTTGCAAAACAGCGCAGTCCATTCTCTGAGCTCTTTGGGGAATCATGGACAATGCCCTTCAAACTACGAAAGGGACCTACACACTTCACTAAGGAACTTGTACGGTTTTGAGCTGGCGCCTTATATTGCGCCCATGACCCTCCAAGCAACTTGGTTTGTTTCCCACAATCTTCTTTAGGTGCTTGAGGGGTTTTAGCAAAGACTCACCCCTGCAAACCCAACCAGTTTTTGCGTCGACCTTTTTTTGAAGCTTGGGAAGCTACTTTTGAATGGGTAAGGCTGATGGGCACAAGGAATCGACTGTGCACGTGCGAATGCTGCTTCCCCACGAGATAATGCACTGCTTGGCAAACGCCCGGTGCCCCATGGTATTTGAATCCATCATGCTTGGAAACCTTGAAGATGGAACCCGCAAACAGTTTTTGGAGCATGTGCGAACTCTTGGTCCTTGGAAGTCCCACCCATGCCTCGCTGCCGGGCAATGCTTCGAGCGCCTCATTGGCCTGACGTTTCACGCAGACGGGGCACAGTTCTTCAACGAAGATGAATGCTTCGTTTGGAGCGTCTCAAGCGTTTTTGCCAAGTCTGGCTTGTGTCAAGATGTGCTCACATACAAGTTCCCATTTTGCATCATACCAGAAAGGCAATTGAGATCCAAAAATGTACCTTCGAAGACGTTTTGAACTTTCACGTTTTGCCACAAAGAATCTTTAGGGAGTGAGTGGTAAGACTTCCCCCCTATCAGCAGTGTTCCTCTCACACAGGTACGGAGCAAAGCCAATGACTTGGTAGCTCGGGTCGCTGCCTGGTCCATGCGATGTGCGTCCAACGGCGTAGGGCCTCATGCAGGCTTCCGCGGTGAGGCTTTTGCTGACAAGTCGTTCAGGGCAAAGCTTTGTGGCGTGGAGCTCGCCCAGGGGTGGAAGATGCTTGGACACATTGTTCGGTAACGCTATCTTTTTTCCACTGAACACATGAACAATGATGCTTCTCGAAGAGCTTAAGCCGCAAAGCTGTCAAGGGCCTGCTACTTTGCCTTCAAGGCAGACTTGAAGGCCCGCCACGAACTTCATGGGTTCAGCCGGTATTACCAAACGGCCCTGCACCTTGTAAAATTCAATCAACTTTTTTGTCACACTTCTCCCCACTGTTCGATCTGCACTGCAAGGGTACAAAGTATAGGGGTTTTGGGTTTTGGTGACAGCTGAGGATCTGTGATTCATGTTTGGCGCGGGGTGATGTCAACGCTCCAGACAGCACGAACTTCCGGAACTTTTCAAGTTCTGCGGCGTGGCCTCTCACATGTCTGACCCATGATCAGTACGCAGCCATGTCCGGAAATGATATTTCTAGCTGGGTGGTGATGGAAGGATGGACCCTCGAAACAAATTGTTTTGACTTTATGCATAATGCCTACTTGGGTGTATGTCGAGACCTAATTGGCTCTGGTCTTAGACTCTTCATCAGACAAGGGTTCTACACAAGTGACGGCGACCTGGATACAACGTTGGCGGCTATCCAAGAAGAGATGGTGAAGGACTGCGCTGACCATGGGCCACTCACCTCCAAAGTGGATGAGGTTTTCTTTTGTGGGTGGGTCACTGTTCCAAAATAGTTTTCAGACGCGACCAATCAAAAACAATGCAGGCTGTACTTGCCACGCAAGCCGGCCATCAGCATGGCTAGCATTTCTACCGACGACTACCCGGAAATTAGCGCCCGGTTCAAAGCAAGTCACATGAAGCTGATGACTTGGTGGATCAGCTTCAAGTCGCAACAGTTTGCGGACAGGTCGGAGGATGAACCTTTGTTCAAGTATGTCTTTTCATTTTCCACCGGTCCACCGGTACCTCAAACCCCAGAAAAGAATAGATGATTCATATCACCTACCCAACCTACTTGGCCAGGATCGTGTGACACAGGTGTTCGCTACGTCCTGTTACAACCTTCAGCGGTGCATCGAGTTGATGGACTGCAGTGGAGCTTTACTTACCGATGAAGACGCTGCAGAGGCAGCTCACTGCTTACATGTTTTTTGGAAACATATTCCTGGCTGTGTCTGCCTTCTTCCGGCGCGAGCGAGAGATGTTGTTCAGGGTTAGGCCAAAACATCACTATCTAGCTCATCAAGATACCCAGCTGCTTGCGTGGAAAATTAATCAATCTGCTTTTCATACTTCTGACGAAGAGAGCTTTCTTGGAAAAGCGAAGCCATCTGGACAAAATGTCATGGCCGCACTGCCTCCAAGAGATTCTTTGAAAGGTATCTGTTACTGTTAGCTCTCATGCTAGAAGAACATAGAAGATATGTTCTGAGAATGAGAGGGCCCAAGTGAACCTTTTCAACCACTTCAGTTTTTTAGTAGGTGAACGGTTCCTCTACAAAAAGTTTGTCTGGCAGTTGGTGTGATGGCATGTGGGCCTACCTCACTCAAGGGTTTGGGGTGTGTGCACGCCCTCTGGGGCACCAGGCGCGTGCGTCAAGCGAACACGCATCATCCAGCTAGCGTGCCAAAAGGAACGTGTAAGATGCCACATGCAGTCTCAGTTTCTCGTTTTGAGATTGTTTGTTCAGTCGCTGTTCTGTTTCAGCACCTACTGCAAAGTAAGGGGTATTCACCCAGTGTATGTAAAACCTGTTCTCTAATTAAGGTAAACGACTTGGAGGTTATCTAGCTCATTAGGGGTGTAGACCTGCTCAAGCCTTGGGCCACCAAACGTCAAAGCGGCGAAGGGCTCCGAGCGTGTTGGAAAAACAGCGCGCGCTGGACTTTCCTTCTACTGCACAAAGCATGGTCAAAAAAACTGGTCGCTAACTTTACACCGGTCTCCAGGTGGCCCAAATGCAACACGTAGCCAGCATTGGCTGCTTTTCCCAGAGTGAACCGCTGTCGTGTATAAGCGCAAACTTTCGGAGGCATTTTGCTTTTCCGCTAGCGTCCACCGTTGTCGCAAAGGATCCATTTTACGCAGTTGGTGGCTAGCCTCGTGAGCGTGAACCGCTGTCGTTTCACGTGTACCAATCCAAAACCACGAAGCAGTTTGCTAATTTCGTGAGTGTGAAATATTGTCGTTCGAAAGGCCATAGCTCATGGGCATAGTGTGGGCCAATGTGCTATCACCAAAAACTGTAGATCAAGACAAGCCAGAGATTTATGAAAACTTAAAGTTTGTCTGGCCAAAATGCACACGACATCGTTTTGCCCATACGATGTTGTTGGCTTTTAACATTCTCGTTTGCAGATATAGCTCTGCAAAAAAACACGTTCGATCCTCTAGGCAATACCTGCACTTCGCAGCCATAGAAAAGGTGTGCATCGCTGCCGCTCGCGCACCGTCCTGTCCACGTGATTTCACTTGGTGTATTCGACCAGGCCCAGTAAAGCTACTGCCACTTCTGGGGGAACTTACCCCTCACCCCGCCGCCCCCCCAAGGGACACGACATCACAAACATCATGTCAGGGGGGTGTTTTCACGATCGTCGCGTCGTCGTCGTCGCTTTCGTTCCCCGCCTCTCAAGTGTAGTGCGGGAAGCAAGGCTGGCGACGTGGTAATGTAAATGTAGCGCGGGAAGCAAATTCTGCCAGCTGTGGCCTTAGAACTGATATTTTTGTAGTGCAAGTGTGATGCTGGATGAGTGCGTTTGGATGAGTCGGTGCCATTGGGGGAAAGAAAGCGTGCTGGTGTAAACGCGGCGTGTCGCTGGCGAGCGGCATCATTGGCAGTGCCCAGGGTGCTAGGTGTTACATTATTGTATCTAGTCTGTGGCACACCGTGTGGCTGACGCTGTGCCATGCGGTTTTGCGCTGCCCCGGAAGAAAACGCGGCGTGTCGGTGGGGAGAGGGGTGATTGGCGGTGCCCACAAGCCTTTTTGTTACATTGTTGTATCTAGTCTGTGGCACACTGTGTGGCGACGTGATGTGTGTAGTGCCGCCGAACCATTCGGTTCCATTCGGTTTTGTGCTGCCTGGATGGAAAGTGCAGTTATGTGAGTCCATGCCATTGAGGGATGGAAAACATGCTAGTGTAAACGCGGCGTGTCGCCGGGGACCAGAATGATTGGCCTTGCCAGGCTTGGTGTTACACCGTTGTATCTGGTCACGCGTGTGGTGACAGGACGTGTGAATTGTCGCTCGCATGCCGTTTTTGGCGCTGCCTCGGTGGAAACACAGGAGTGTCCGGCTAGACTAGGAGTGTCGTACGAGAGTGTCCCGCAAGAGTGTCCTGCAAGAGTGTCTCCCACAAGAGTGTCCTACAAGAGCGTGCCACAAGAGAAGCGCCTACAAGAGTGTTTTGTGCAAGAGTGTGTTCCACAAGAGTGTCAAACAATGTTTGGCCGTTTGTTTTCGAGTGCATTTGTGCATTTCGGTTCGTAGGTTCCATATTTTTCTGGTCTTATGAGGCAGACGACTGTCTGGAATGGATGCGACTTGCACGTCACGCAAGTTTCCGCCGCCCTCCTTCATTTTCTTAAAAAACAACCCTGATGCCAAGTCATCCTAAAGTCATCTCTGATGCAATTTTCAAACCTGAAGATCCTTTTGTCGGCCTGAAACCTGGTACATCTTCGTGTACATCTTTGCGAGACCCATCCTGCGTGCTCAGTGGACGCAGCTCAGGAGACAGCCATCATATTTGATTGGGATGACACACTCTTCCCAACTTGGCTGCTTGGCTAGCTTTGGCCAGCTTTGGTCTTACATTTTTGCCAAGCATGCTACTAAATTGGTGCCATTTTAGGATTCAGGCGGGCTCCTCAAAACTATTGTGCCATTTGGTGCCCAAGACAAGGGCAGCCCCTGTTTTTGTGCTCTGATGACACAACTGCCTTCCGTGCTGAGGTTTGTGACTGAGGTGGTAAATCCTTGCTTGGAGGATGTCCATTGCGAGCAGCTTCCACTTGACAGCCCCTTCATGGAATGCCTGAAGAGCCAGGGGCACGCAGCCAGCTTCTCAGAAGGGTTGATTGGTGCAATCAATTTAGGCCGGTATATACTCTTACTTTTTTGGATTCTCAAAGGCTTTCACCTCAAATACAACTAAAAAGGACTTGATGCCCTTTGATCTTCATTCGCCTACAAAGTGGCTTTTGCTCTTCGAATGAGAGCTACCTTTCAAGACTGTATTGGAGGCCGATTTGTTCTGGCTTAAACTCAGGCTTCCAGAGCAGTCTCCTTCAGACTCTTTGAGACTCTCTTCTTGAAAACACGAAGAGCAGACTTTAGGCAAACAGTGTCTGTTTCAGCTGGAGACGTGTCGATAGTTGACCGCGCAACGTGGGGCACGCCATGTGGAAACGAGCTGCGGTGGTGTTGTTTGCTCTGACGATTGGGCCTCAATGCGTCACAGCCGCCTCTTTGCGGTTTTCCGGAGCCTGGAAGGACGTCACTTCCTTCCAAACCTGCCAAACCTGTGCAGAGTTGGAACATAAGGCCGATTTTCAGTGGGAAGAGCATGAATACAGGAGTTAATTAGAATTAACTCCTGTGTTAATTCTTTAGCATCGACCCCCTCTCAGCATGCGCACAGACGGAATTAACTTGCAAAAGAAGCCATCGGTGTGTGGCCAATTTCTGGCACCAACACAATATAAGAATTAACTCTTGATTTAGGTTATGTTTTTGGTAGGTAGCTTTTGTTTGTTTGCGGATTGCTAGCTGTGTGTTTCTTTGGTAGTTTGTTTGTGGTAAGGTTGCTATCTGTAGCTTTCAGACTGTGGAAGAATTCACTCTTGATTTAATTCTTTTTTAATGGGTTGGACACTTGAAGCCCCACACGAGGGTAGTCTCTGGACAAGTCTGTGCGAGTTTTCATCGAAAAAATGGGTCGAGATGTCTCTCCAATGAACGCTTCTTGCTTTCCTCTTTTTCGCACTGCGCTGGGAAACCCACAACAGAAAGACCTAACTCTCGAGTTAAATCTTCCCACGTGCGGGCAGGCTTCAAAAAGAATTAAATCAGGAGTCAATTCCTAGACATGCCCACGGCTGAAAAAGAACTACTTCCAGAGGCAATTGAAATCAACAGGTGGTTGAAAGGTACAGAATCCTAAATAATTAACTCAAGAGTTAGCTCTTTTTAACTCCTGAATTCACTCCATTTCCTTTCGGTGCATGTCTCCAAAACGACGTGCTTGTGAAGGCTCGATCTGACCTCATACATGCAGAGTTGCATCTTCTGTGGCCCAAGATGAGCTACTTTCGGGTCTCCCCAAATTTTCGCAGCTCGCAGGATGGTCGGCCTCGCCAGCTTTCAACTTGTCAGAGGGACAAGATCTCTAGCCAGGTGGGCGACATCTACGAGCTGCTCCTGTGCTGCAAGGGAGTGTCATTTCGTTGTGTTTGGACTCCCTGCTTGCAAACATGATCAATTGAGACTGGTACTGGATTTTTCCCTTTTTCACAGGTGTGATTGTTTGATCATTGTGCATCCCCAACTCATCTAACATAACATTTTGTATGTATGTATGTAATGTAATGTAATGTAATGTAATGTAATGGCGGATTAGGAGGGCACCCGACTAAAGAGTTTGTTGTATGGAGGATATTTCAGGGTGCGGTGGGTGGGTGCCATTACGCGCACCACTGAATTGAGTTGGAAACAAACACCTGTTTTGGTCAGGTTGGTGTGGTGTGGAAACTGCAAGTGCATCTCGACGGCTGAAGCTGCCTCGCCAGGGCCATCTTGGCCACCATCAGAGGCCTTTGTCTTGGCCTTTGGCGTTGCTTTGCTGAAGAGGAGCTTAATGTCAGGAGAGCCCCGGGTTGCCGCTCCCTTGCACTCCTTTTTCAAGTTCGTGGTGAGGCTGAGGCGGCCTTCAATCCAAGTGAGCCTGCAACCCACAGGAGGTGCAGTGGATTCGATGGTGTAGGCTTGATCAACGCAGTGACTCTGCAAGAAACTGTGGAAAGTTTCCTCCTGCGATCTTTTGAGGATGGAAGCTCCACACTTGTTGCAGTTCAAGTGCCCTGCAGTTTGCTGGTAGTGATGGGCTTGAGGCCCTGCCAATGTTGTTGGAGCAGGTCTTTGATGGCCTGCGCTCTAGTTACTCTAGTTGGTTTACGCCGCTACGGTGGGGTGCCCTTTCGGTCCACGCTTCGCGGCAGCTTGGTTGCAACCAAGTGTCTCTTGTGCTGTTTGGTCTGCCGTCCTTGGCTCTTGGAAGGGTCTTTGTATGTCGCCCCCAATCTGGTTGGTAGCTTGACCGGGGGCATCTGGTGCACGGTGATCTTTCTTGATGTAAAGCACCGTGATTCTTCTTTGTCCAGGGCATTGGCGAGGTCATATAACAACCCTTCCTCACTTCCACTCCAAGACATTGCTTGAGCGCCAAAGGAACGCGAGAACCTTTGGAAGTGCTACCGCTGACGCTGAAAGCCATAGGGCCTTCAATCCCCGAAGCTGGGGAGGCTGCTCGTGTAAGTGCTTTCCCCGAGCGCATCTGCGAGTACGCTGTCAACCCGGCGCTGGTGAGGCTGGATGACGATGAGGTGACCGACCCACGGTACACTGCGGTTCATGTTGAAAGTCCAGCTGAATGGGGCACGATTGCGCAGGCCCTTCTAGTTGCCGGCATGTTTGAGGCTGAAGTCGAGGAGGAGAGGGTGCGGGAAGCCAGCGCTGAGATTGATCGTAAACCTGATGCCTCCGAATGGCTTGCAAGGAAGATTCCCGGAGCGAGCCCCAGATGTCCTATGGGGGCCGCTCTTCGGACAGATGATTGCCCAAGAAGGCGAGGTGTCGTGGTTCTCTGCCGAGGACCAGAAGCATTGCTTTCATATTTATAGTCCTGGCTAGGCGTGGCGTGGGTACTTCACCTTGAGCCGAAAGGCATGAGCTGAGGCGTTTGGGCGAAAGGACCGCGGAGGTGTGCAAGTCAAGACAATAATGGAGACCTGCTGGCCCCGAGGCAGTGGCTCAGCTTCTACGTGAACAACTTTGATCAAGTGATGGTTGCGAACGAGTCGGCGGTGGGTCGATATGAGGGAAGGCTTCTGAAGTGCAGCTGCAGCTAAGGCAAGTCTATCATGAACGCACAGTGGGCCGTGATGGAAAGAAAGCCGCAGAGGGCTTGCGGTCCTGGGTGTAGAGATGTTTGAGAACCACGTGGGGTCCAACCTTGTGCCCTGATGGGTGCCACCCTGCATTTGATTCGAACCGAGGAAAGCATGAAGGTGAGCTTGAATGAGTTCATGACAGCAGTCTCAAAGCATATGCGGTCGTGCCAATACAACCGGACTACTGCTTGCCTGCCTGACCAGGTATACAATACAAGTTCATCCACAATTATGGCAAGTGAGTCATTCCACATCAGGTGATTGATGAACTCTGGTTGCTGACCATATGGCGCTCCCGATGCACTGGACGAACGCCCAGTGTCAACTGGATGGACGAGCGCGGGCCACAGATGCCTCAGAGTAAGGTGATGGGGCGCGCCGCCGAATTGGGGCTATCCAAAGTGGGGGATGTACGCGAGCATCTTCTCGCACTGGATAGCCACTGCCAGGGCGGAGCTTTAGCAGATGAGATATCGGTTGTTGAATTGTTCGGAGGGCCCGGAGCGCTCTCCAAGGCTTTTCAAGTCAAGTGCTGGGGTGATCAGCGTGGGACTATTTTGTCAACAACAACCCGAAGGCCAGAAAGCTTCAGAAAGGGCATCGACCTCACAGTATCTGTGCAATGACATCGGGAGGCTTCTTGATGACATGCTGTCGCGGATGGCTGCGGCTGAAAGAAGCAACTGAGCCTCCACATGAACAGCCATGGAATGTGATTGAACTATACGAGAACCTTTGGGAAGGGGCCAAAGCCGTGCGAGATCTATATAATTGGGCAAAAGCAGAAACTACCTCGTCAGAAGACCGGCGAAGGAGCAGGCTGGCAAATTAGCAGTTGTCGATCCTGGATCATCGATCGCCGAGGGTCGTCTGCGGTTTGAAGCTGGACTCCCATATGCGCCGCATCTTTTTGCGCGCAGGCCCGTTGATCCTTCAGCTTGGATTTGGAAGTCTTGCTGAGCTGTAAGTGGGCGCGTCCGTCCTCGACTTGTGCCGGAAGCTGGCCCGAAAGAAGGGGGACCGTGACAAACGGCGGTTGCTGCTAGTGGATAACGGGTCAGTGCTCTCAATAGTGGTGGGGTCCGATGTCAAGTGCCCGAAGGCAGGGACCTTTGACGCGACTCACGGCTGAGCGGCTTGCCACTGGGATGACCTTGGTGTTGGTTGGGCTGGGTCCAATCCGCACTGAACCCAAGCCGGTGGCGCAGCAGAGCAGCAAGAAAAGCGAGGAGAGCTAGACTGGCAGTTGCATGTGTATAAACTCATAGACTTTCTGATCATGTGAGTTCTCCACCGGGGTTTATTGAGTTAGACAAATTGCCGTGCAGGTATGTTGAATCTTTGTGGGAGTCTGGCGACGCCAAAGGATGGGCCTCAGATTTGGACATTTCATCCTGGGTGCGTGGCGTTGGCTGAACTGGCAAATCAGCGTCGTTGGAATGACGCTGCCATGCTGTTAATTGTCGGGTTTTGCGCGCTCCCACGGTCTGCTGAGCTCTTCTCCGCTCTGAAAATTGATTTTGCGTTTGATCATAAAAGATCTGCAGTGTGGAGCCTGTCCTTGGTCGTTTGTGGCCGCTGGGTTGTCTCGCTGTTGCGATCAAGGTAACTAGAGTGTCCGGCCAAACTCAACGCAACTGTTTGAAGATCCTCACACAAAAAGCCAAAGTGGCTGGGAATTGTCAGTGGTACTCTTGCCGAAGGGCATGGCCACGCACATGTTTCGGATGACTGGCAATCTGTCGCAAGTGTGTCATGTTGGTCGCTAGAATAGCGCAAAGACGGCCCGCGTCTATATTTCGGACGCTGTCGCAGCATTGGCGGAGATTGACCTTGAGACCTCGCGTAGGCGTATAGGCTCACATTGTTGGCGGCTCACGCGCATCCAGCTGGGATACCGTCTAAGCGCTCTAAGCGCTGCAAAAGAAGGCTAGATGTGCGCCTGTCCTTGCGCGTGCTTCTTTCTCAGATGGGCAACTTCATTGGGTTGTAGGAGGGGTACGGTGGATACTGGTATCTGGTTGCTCCTGGACCTGTTACCGAACGGGCCAGGAGTGTTTCTGCTATTGAGTGGATGCGCTAGCAACCCGGGGTACAACTGTTTCAAGTCTTCTTGTGTTGCTTTCGCCAGGTTCTCTGCGATGACCTCATCCTGTGGTGGGGCTAGGTTCTGTGGGCCCTGGCCTTGATTAGCCGAAGGGCTGATTCTTTTGCGATGAAAAACGGAACTCGTGACTCGTGAGCGCTATATTCGATTCAGGGTTGCTGGAAAAACCTTTTTCTAGGCATCTTGAATCTTGAATCCAGGTCAAAAAGCCTAGATTTTGAGGAAAGGAATTAGTTTTTCCCAGATAGCGTGAGCTTTTGGGGTTCGATTTTTTTTAAAAAAAGCTGCGTGTGTGCGTTTTAAAGCCTGGGTGCTGTGCTGCTGCAGGGTGCCGCTGCTGTGTGCACTTGAGAGCTTGGGCGCAACTTCGACGCTATCTGTCAGGGCGGGACGATGTCCACCCCTATAATGCCTGATGCCGTACGCATTGATCATCTCCTGTCACGCCACGAACGACGTCGCGATGTGCCAGGTATGACATCATGTCAGGCCAGGGATGTCATGCCATGCCAGGGATGACATCGTGTCATTGAAATTACATCATGTCATGCCAGGGATGACAGCCTGTCAGTTTGTGCATGACAACGTGTTCGGCAGCGATGATCAAAATGTCGTCTGGGCAGCTTTGCTGGTCCTTGCCGATTTTTTCCGTCTGTGTTGGGCAAAGCAAGCGCATTCAGCTGATAGATGTTGCGCATGTTGGGGGACTGGTCTGATGTCGCGTGCTGCGGTGTCAGCGGTTCGTGGCGTGTCCTTTATACCTATACACCCGCTATCTGGGGTCTATGCCGGTGTAATTTTTCTGTTTATCGTCAATCGATGCATATGGTACCCCCGCACCTTTGACACCAAGGTATTAAAAACACATGAAACAGGTATATATATATATATATATGTATTAACTCTGTACTCATAACTTTCCACGTTCTGGAATTGGCCTGAGTTCGAGTTGATGTTCCATGGATTTCCTCTCCACACCTCTCCCGTCATCAACACTCAGGCTAAAGCAAAAAGGGCGGAGCATTCGTTTCCAGGTGGCCTCCTCACTGCCGATGATCGCCGGGATCTACGCCGGCCTGGTGCGGAAACTTTTACGAGACAAACCCAATGCGAGAGTCGTGATCCTGACCCCAGAGATCGAACGTGCCGAAGAGATTCGCCGGGCCTTCTTGCAGGACTTGACTTCGACCCGGCTTGAGTTGATTGATGCTTTTGGTCATTCTGTGGTCATTGTGGGGTTTGGAGTTTGGCCACTTTGCACCTTGAAGCTGTACCCTAGGCATTCCTAGGCCGAAAATTGTTTGTTTGATTACTTTGTTAGGGCGTTATGTTCAGTAGAATCATCTGTAGTGTCTTTGATGTGCTCCATACTCTTATACACGAAGATACTTGGCAAATCGAAGGAGCAAGAACTGCCCGAGCCGACCTTGATATTTTATACAGCAGCATCAGCAACAAAGCGTCAAACCTCAGACAACGTGATCATTTGCGTGAATAAAAGCAGCCGTATGCTTGAAGGACTCGCGATGGGTATGATTTTTCACATGTATTTACAAACCACAAACTTAGGATGTAGATTTTTGCACCAACACAGTTTGGGCAACTGTGCCCAGCTGTGCATCCAGGACAACACTTTCTGATGAAAATCCAGGACGAGGCACTGCAGCGGCCCAGTTGGACCATGCAGAATCTCAAAAAGGTTTCTGCGGAGTTTGTTGGTGAGTTCTCCTTTTCGTTTGGCTCGGCAAAGGTTGACTACATGTATTCACTCCAGGAGGCCTGCTTTGAAGGTCACATTCCAGCGGTTCATTGCTTTGTTTTGCCATTGGCTGAAGATGACGCCCAGCAATTTTGCGGGTTAGCGCAGCTGATTCAAAGCAAGGAAATGGAGTGGTCACCAATGCTTGTCTCCTTCCCCGCACTGCCTGCAGCGTCAAATTTTAGTCAACGTCTCCAAAAGCTGGGTGTGTCTGCAGAGGCCATCACCTGTCCAAGAAGTCAGAAATATCAAACGAAGCGAAATGAAGTGATGCAGCGTTTGGAGGAGAAGAAACTTAGCGTGGTGTGCATGGCTAGAGGAGGTCCTTCGGACTTTGCGGTGAAGGGGCTGGAAACAGTGATTTTGGCCTCAAGGGGGTCCCGTCCAGAACGAAGGCCGAAGTCCCTACGTTATTTGCAAATGATGGTGCAAGCCCAAAAGGATTTCAGACCCAGGCCGATGAAGCTCTTTGAAACCATTTGCAGTGATCAACCTGAACGTCAGATCCAAGAATATTTGGATCATTTCGGGGCCTTGGAGCCGAATGAAAGCCCAATAGGCGAACCACAGGTCTATGTCGGGGTGTTGTTGCCTGAAAGAAGGAAGCATGATGCTTAATGGGAAGAGAATCGCACATTGATTTGAGATGGTGCGCCGATGTGGCACCCTGGAGTCAATTTTGAGAGTTGGGAACATCTCTTTGATTGACCAGTATGAAGTGTTGCATTTAATTTGGAACGTTTTCCAACAAAAGCTTTGCCCCTCCTCACTAGTCCTTCTGACGCTTAGGTCCGCCATTTGCCGAGGTTGGTCAGAGTCTTCTGCGTTTGATTATGCAATGTATTTGTCGGACTGATGCAGAGCTTGTATCGTGGCTGGACCCAGAGCTAGGTGGAAGATGGCACACAGATCCTTGGATATGATTTGAATCCATCATTGGTTTTGCCATGCCTCGCATGTGCATCTGAAAGAGACAGCAAATTGGTGGCCGGTAAGGTTGGTCACTCTTGAAGTTTTCATTTTGCCACTGAGACTTTCATGTACCAGTTTGCACCGCTTTTTGTCGGGTTTTTGGAAGGGCACTTGTGCTCTTCGTCGCTTCTGTGAGGCGGATGTCCTGATCACAAGATAGACTACCCACGAAGTGGTCCACCATCAGCACCGAAAACGCCCGGCTGTGTCCACTGGCTGGTCAAAATGATGCAACGGTGTGATCGCCTGATGTGCCGGATTTCATCGCCTTCTTTTCGGAAGAAGGTGGATTACAGTGGAACTATCCAGAATCCCGGCACAAAGGATTTGTACTCAGGGGATGCGTGACCCTCACAACTACTTGTGCCCTTGTCGAACCAGGACGAGATGGTGAGTTCCTTATAATTCCTGTACTATTGTTCTTAATTGTGACCATGTAAACTTGAGAAAGGGACACAAAGTGCACTTGAGAAAGCTCACAAAATGGAGAAATGCACTGAACACGTCAAAGGACGCGCTTGCTGCCCAGGACGTTTGCGGTCAATCTCACAACAGAGCATCAATTGCTGGATAGATGTGCTGAGCAAATGGCAAGTGCAAATGAACGACAATTTCAGCGATTCTCTGAAGCTTGTAGATGCTCCTCAAGTTTTAAGCATGGGTGAACACTCCACTCAGGAGGTGTTCGGTGCATATTCTTCCCATGACAACGCGCTTCAATGCAAGAGCTGGTCCTGAGCATTTTTGTCCATACTAAGAAAAGCTGCCTGAAGGGCGGTCCTGTACATTTGTCTGGAAGAGAGGCTTTTGTGCTTCTGACTTTCGTTGGTTTCGTTGACGACTAGGCGACTAGGTGTTGCAGGATCACTGTTGGCGGCACTCGCCCTATTGAAAGCATTGAGTGCTCCCAAATCTGCCCAGTGTGCCCAAGCACGCAGGTTGAAGACATCCTTCGGTGTGCACGAGCATGCGGGCGAGTTGCCATTGTGACACTGGCACAACATCCCTGGGTTGTGAACTCAGCGGCCAAGTACTTGCCTGGCTTGGATACTCGGTTGCGCTAAGGGGTGGCAATGTTGAATCACAAGGTTGGCACTTCACTAGAGTTTGCCATTCAGCATTTGGCGATTGCCCTTCTCTTGAGCTGTGACTGTCCATCCGCATCCCTCTAGCGCCTCTAGGACCTTCCTGGCTTGTTAGAGGAGCTGGAAATCCCGGTGATCTATGCACGTCAGTGTTTGAAGCGCTACGTCATTCAAGAAGGGACTCAAGAAGGCGAATGCCTCTGGACCTTAGCGAAGCAGACCGCGATGACGAAGGCGGCCAAGCCAAGGACGTTCTTTTGACCCAACACGTGTCAAATATGAAGGCAGCAGACAAGCGTATATTATAGAGGTTTTTGAAACGCATCTTCAGGAAACACAGAGTTTTGCACAGCGAACATGCTGTGTTGTTTTTGCTCCTCACTGGCCAGGTTCTTCGCAAACTTTATGGTAGAGACCAACCATGGATGAACGTGCTGTCCATCGGAGATTCCACAGTGGAGCGTGCGGCCGTCATGGAGATCATGTGGAGAAATCATCACGAGGAGCTACAGACTTTTTTCCCTTGTATTCTTTTTGTTATATAATGTATATAACGCCAAAAAACCCAACAGCTGGGTACGTCTGCCTACTAGGCAGTGGCACCATCGCAAGGTTCAACAAGTGTCGTGCCTTTTGCCAAGCAATCCTGTGCCTGTCTTGAACGCCACTACAAGCAAGAACCAGCAAACCTGCTCCAGAACCGCTTGCCTGAGCCCGTGACTTTGGAATCATGGGGATCCCTGCGCAAATGAACTGAATCTCAAGCTGGTTGGTCAAAAATGCATACACGGTATACATAATTGTATACTATATCACGAAAGCCAGCCGATAGGCAAGGCTTGAGGTAGGGGAGCGAACGAAGTGAGTTAAAGAGGGTGTGGGGGGGGGTGGTCGCGAGGTGGCCAATTTCGGAGAGGTGAACCCAGAGCCTGGTGGGGGAGTGAAAAAAGAGGTGGCCACTTGGTAGTGAAAAATGAGTGGTTTTAGAGGTGTTGTGATGCCGGTGATGTTGACGGCCAGTAGTGCATCATTAGCATCACGAGGGTCCCGGGAGTTCATGCCAATGATAGGCAAGAGGGGGCAGCGGGATGCGAAAAGTGGTTGGAATTCCTCCAGGCAGGGAGATGCGCGACTCTCATTGCCAGTGAAGTAGTGTGAAAGGGAGGTGTGTGTCTCTTAAGACATAGTGTGATCTGTGAGGAGCCATAATGCTGTGGGGAAGGTGGAAGACAGGCATAGCGTAGGAGGACGTGGTAGGAAAAGAGTGTTTGCAAGAAATGTTAGGGTTGCTTGGGGGTGCCCTTTTTAAATGGTGACAACGCCTGTCAACTATACGCAAAAGGGCACCCCATATGGGTTGCGAGTTCATGTAATGCTGTGGTCCGTTCAGGGCAGGAAAGAGAACAAAATGGGGGGTGCCCCTTTTTAACGATGAAGAGGTCCAGTTGCCGGACTCAAAAGGGCACCCCAATATGGGGTGGGAGTTCATGTGGACGAGACAGGCATAGTGGAGGAGGACGTGATAGGAAAGAGGGTTTGCAAGAAACGATGTGACCCATTCATTGAGAACAGGGAGGGAGCAGAATGCAGCGGGCAAGCTTTGAGTTGTTTGGGGGTCCTTTTTTTTAATGGTGAAGAGGCCTGTTGACCAGACGCAAAAGGTCACCCCATATGGAGTGGGAGTTCATCTACAAAATGGGCATAGTGGGGGAGGAGGTGATAGGAAAAGAAATGGGGATGTCACCCCCCAATAACCACATTGATATCTTTTACGGTGGCTGGCTTTCGTCCCCCCCTTCTCAGGTATATATATATATATATAATATATGTACTGATTTCTCTATATAGACGTAGGTTTTAAAATGAAATACAGGCAGACACCAGGAGCATGTAAACCGTATCACTGCGAGGATGGATCCGGACGCGTGCCATGTTGCAAGACCATCAAGCTTATGGATGCAGCTTGCCTTATAACATACTTCAGGGGTATGGAGAAAGTGAGAAGGCCAGCAAGACAAGACATTGCGGGATAAACCTCTTGGACCAAGGATCCGAGTGTTGAACAGCTCCATACTCAACTGGTCATGCTCAGCATGTGGATGACTCAGTTGGCGCAGCATGGTAATGACTTTGATTTTTCCCTTGATGACTCCGACGAAAGCATGAGTTTTGCATGGAACAATCAGCTGCTTGGTCGCACATACATAATACAGCTGCTTTCCATACACTCTTTCGTTTTGTTGTTGGTGACACCTGCCGCACTAGGGTGCTTTTGGACTTTCAAGGTTTGCCTTCAACGCCGCCACATAGTTGCTTACAGATTATAGTTTCATATTTGATGCAGAGGCAACCAAGTCCTCCGCTCAGTGCTGACGCTTCTAGCGTACGGCGTTTCATTTTTAAGTCCTTCAGCGGCAAAAGCCGCAGTTGGCATTTGCTTGACAATGCGTTGATTGCAATTTTCTATTCATTTTTGTCCGTCCAGAGAAACGTCAAGCTATTCAAACATGTTCAAACAATTCAGCCACTCTTCTCACTCTCTTCTCAAGACTCTTTAAGGCTCTTTGGTTCTCTCACCGCAGACAGCTTTCAGTAAGGCTGTTTGCATTTCTTTTTTCCATTGGTGCTTTCGGAGCACTGAAGGTCAGCTGACCTGTGTGACAGCTTCATAGGTCACTCAAGCTGTGCATGGCCAAAGGGCACATGCTCAGGTTTGTCAGTGGCAGTGGACAGTGCTACAGCTGCTAATTGTAGCTAACATAGCTTCGAACAGAAGTAGAAACTGTTTGTTTTCTCTTGACGCTTCTATTTCGACCGACGTGTCTCTCTCTCTCTCTCTCGCTCGCTCGCTCGCTCGCTCGCGCCAAAGCTCGGAATGTGCATGTGAGACCAGGTTTTCAGCACTGGATTCGCGGGTTTTCGATTAAAAACTGTACCTTTGGTAGTAATCAGGTGTTTTGAGCATCCAATGATGACTAGTTTCGGCGACTGAACCAGGGATGGTACGCTGGTGGCACAGGTGACAGGTAGCATCGGCATCCAAAGGAATGATGTGAGGATTAAGAGGACCTTGCAACGTATTCCTTTAAAAGATGCACTACAAAAGAGATAGTGTGGGACATTCCTGACGAGGTCGGGCTGTTTGTTGCCATTGTGAAAAGATGGTTAGGTCAGGCAGTTGGAGGACGAAGTACAAGAAGCTGAGCAGGTGCAGAGAGATACAACATTTATTTCATGAATACCTTTACTCTTGGCTGTACGGCACTAGTGCCCATCGAGAGCAGGCCTACTATGAGCTCAACATGCTGCTTACAACGGCAGAATGCGGCTTGGACCCAGAAAGCCCATGTAACCGGCCGGCCGCCTGCTGTACAGGGCGATGAAATTAGACCAAACTGGCTCGCAACTGGGGGCATGGTGTGCCAAAACGTTTTGGATTCTGCTTAGCCAAATCGTGAATTGCACACTATTTTTAGTCCTACTCTCCAGCCAAAGTTCACAAACCTGTGATCGAGGCAAGCTTCAAAGGGCGCACTGGGAGACCCGCTGCCTTCGAAAAGAAGAAGGCGCCACCCACTCTGAGGCGCCACTCACCACAGCTCGTCACATGTGCAGCTTTGGTAATCCTTTACCTTCCCTTTTCTTCTCATTAAGAGCGATGGCCTACGTATTTAATAGGAATTGCCTCCAACCTAATGGCTTCTTTCACATGTTTTTTTTTCATCCTGAAAATGACATCTGCAAACTCTTTTGTTTGGAGGAGTTTGCCACTCTGTCCGACCAGTACGCCGCAGAGATCGCCAAGCTTGACGAACAGTGTCGGGAGCGGGCTAAGCGGTCCGCAGAGGTTTCCTGTCGTCCAACGCAGACAGAGCGCTGCTTGCTTGCTCTTCAGGGTCTTTGTGGTTTCTTTGGTGCTTCAGGAGCTGCGAAAAGACCAGAAGGGCGTCAAAGAGTGCCATGAGGTTGGCCATTTCGGGGAGAGTTGGTCCGTTTCTGGTGATTGCCAACCAGATAAACCATTTGTTCCAGACAAACAGATATGAGGGTGAGCAATGTCCTAGAGACGGCATGTGCCGCTTCAAATAGAGCCCCATGTCTCAAAGGACAATCTGAAGCAAAAGCGCGCCTTTGTCCAGCTCGAGCAACTCATGCAAATTAAGCTCAAGGCGGTGCTTTTTTGGTTGGGCCTTTTTTGTGTTTGCTGCTACAATAGTTGTTTTGAGATTGCACTGTTTTCTTGACATTCTATAGAAAGTCGGAAAGATGCAGCAATGATGACAGGTAGAAGTGTGTTGCTTTGTTTGCAGGTGGCCAAGCAGGAGTTGCAGAACATGGCAGAAGGAAGGTGGGAAAGTAGGAACAGTTTTGGCAACAGTGCAGGTTCCTATTTGTAAACACTACTGGTTGGTTGTTTTGATCCCATGCTGCTATCTGCCTGATGTCCTGATGCTTTCTACATCAACAAGTCAATCAGGTATGGAGCTTCTAGAACGGTCGCACCCTAAGACCCCTCGCCTTCCGTGGCAATGCCTTTGACTGCACTGGCTTTTTGTGATGACCGCAAGAGGTGTTGAATTCAAGAGGTTTTGGTGAGATTTTAGGGTGGAGGCCATCGCTACTAGGGTGGAGGGTGGAGACCATCGCTACTAGGGTGGAGGCCATTGCTACTAGGGTGGAGGGAGACCATCGCTACTAGGGTGGAGGCCATTGCTAGGGTGGAGGCCATCGCTACTAGGGTGGAGGGTGGAGACCATCGCTACTAGGGTGGAGGCCATTGCTAGTAGGGTGGAGGCCATCGCTAGTAGGGTGGAGGCCATCGCTACTAGGGTGGAGGCCATTCGCTACTAGGGTGGAGGCCATTCGCTACTAGGGT